AATATGTTTTTAATGCTTATGTACTAAACATGTAATAAAAATCAATTGAGAGAGAGAGAGAGAGAGAGAGAGTCTAAAACTGTTATTACCTTATATTAGTGAAACAAATGTGAAAGATTGCGATTATCTCTCTCTCTCTCTCTCTCTCTCTCTCTCTCCGAATAAATCCCATTGAATACTATATTGTTTGCTGTCTTCTCTCACTTTAGTTCCTCCCAAAAGAGTGATTATAAGAGATGAGACGGGAATTGAACTCAAAAGTATAGCCGTGTTTGACGAGGGATCTGATGTGCGGCTCTTCTGCGAATCGATTGCTGGTATGAATGCTTTCCCCCATTATTTCCATCACAAAAATATCACTCTTTATATTAGATATATTTTACTCCACATTCGCTCTCTATTTTACATCACATACTCTACACAATCAGTTTAAATACTATTTTGTTTTTACGTTTTACCATAAAGAAAACATACATTTTATCTCGCTGATAACTAAAGCCATTTTTCAGTCACTTTCTCACTCTCTCTCTCTCTCTCTCTCTCCTCAATCCCTCTCTCACCGCTTTACAGACTTTGTGTTTGAATATACGGTACTATTCTGTATATACTGTACAATATATACACAGTATTTATAAACATATAGTAGACTATTATATCTATTGAATAAATCAGCGATCAATCATTAAATAAAACTTTTTTGTGATTTACTCTCTACTTATCATTTATTTTATCAAATAATACATTATATTTATGGAAACAAATATTTCGTATATATTCAGTATATACTGTATATGTTTTATTATACGAAAAATGTGAGATATATTTCAATTTTATTAATTAAATGCAATTCTCCGATGAGTTAAATGCCATACAGAATACAAAGAATAGAATTTCTATTAATTTTATAAATGACTTAATACTGATATAGCGATAAAAGTATACCAAATATACTATACATATAAACAGAATATTTGAAAATTAGTTATATTTGTAAAGAGATTGTGGTGTTATATAAATGGCTATTTTATGTTTGAGTCAAACATTTATTGTTTATATCACCACTAAATATAAATTCAATCGTATAATAAAATAATGTTTTACAAAATATTTATTTATATAATATATAAATTTAAGTCAAGAATTTTATCGATTTATTCAAATTAAAAATTAATTTTTCTGCTCATTAATTTTGCTGAATATTCTGGCATTTTATTTAATTATAACTAACAAAACGTAAAATAAAACTCATTTATTATATTATTATTTTTATGGATTCCGTTTGCAAATAGTTTTATATATATAAAGAAATATTCTATAAAACTTGAGCTCAAATGTTGACCAAATATAATAAATACATTCATAAATTGGGTTTATTTTATATGTTTTCCGCCATATATTGCATAGAATTCATGAGAAAATTAATTTATTAAAGAAGATTAAAAGTAAAAACTAATATTTAATATAATATAAACACTTATTAGTACATAAACTAAACGCTATTTAAAGTTTTTCAACAACAAAACAAGTAATTAATATTATAGTAATTACATTCAAACGAAAATGAAAATTTGCAGTAAGTTATTTGTGCTTTTGTTTTAAAACTAAAAAGTTTTGCATTAATTGCTCGCAAAGTATCAAAAAGGGTTATACAATAGCCATAAACGCAGTTAACAAAAACAGCAAAAAAATTTGTTTATATTTTAAATAATAAAATAGTGTTACGGAATCGTAAGCCCTGTGTATTTTCATCCGATGCCTTTCGGGAGGTTTGCTATTATATTGAGTTATGAATTCATTATACATTATATCTGAGTCTCTGTTTTAAAACAAGATTTTCACAGAGAAATAAAAGCGACTTTCTTCTCTCTCTCTCTCTCTCTCTCTCTCTCTCTCTCTCTTC